TTTTTTGACAGGACTGACTTGATGAAGATGAAGATGAAAAAAGGTGGCTGAACAAAACGGCCGGTTCGCCGATTTTTGACTTTTTGCTTAGACAAGGTCTAGAGCCACGCTAGTTGTACCATTGGAGTCCTCTGGTCAAGATAAGGTCCTTTATAAAGTCTGGTAAGCATAGGAGCTCGTTTTCCCGGTATAGCAAGGCTGCAAAAGTCGTGGCAGCCATTTTGTTTGGGGGTGAATCCTACTTAGTAACGCTACCGCGTTACTAATAACGCTACCGCGTTACTAATAACGCTACCGCGTTACTAATAACGCTACCGCGTTACTAATAGTACAGGGACTTTGTCCCAATTTTGGAGTATTTTTTAAAAATTCATAAAAAATTCAATTTTGATTAAAATCAGCTTAACTTTTACACAACATAAGAACATTGTATGTATTTTTTGTATAATTGTATTTTTGATAATAATAATTATTATTATTATCATCATTATTATTTTAGGCTAATATGATGTTTGTTCGAATGGTTCAGCCAACCGGTGGTGGTACTGAAGGCTCATTCCCATACTTGTATATAATAATACCAGTGGTACTAGCTATTATATTCATCATTATACTAGCCATTGCATTATACTGTGTAAGTTATCCACTATTCAAATCTCTTCAGTGTCATATCATTTACTCAAATTAAGAGTCCTTGCTTGCTAATGCATTACTGTGGCCTTACATTGATTTTTATAGCAGCTAATAATGGATAGAATTGATGAAAATAAACAAACCTGCCCACCTGCATTAAGCCTGCTTCTGTTCTGTAATGAGAAACAATGAATCTTTTGGGAGTGGCCTAGCTAAATTTCTTAATTGACAAAATGAGCCATGCACATTTATTTCAATCCTTTTTTATATCTAATGCCAGCTCGGGTTCTTTAAAAGAAGGAAGAAAGCTAAGAAGGAGCAAGAGGAGATGGACCCATACGAAGATGATTATAATCCAAATGATGATGAGACCAAGGACTCCAAAGAAATGTAACTGCAAATGCAGTAGTTATTCACAACCCTCTAATTCCATGATAATTTTTAGTTTTTATTTTGTTTCGTTTTGTAATTTTAATTAATTAAAATGCAATTTTCTTTCCAGCAAAGCCATCTTTTTGATTTAAAATTTAATTTTTAATGATTAAATAAAAAATTTTATACACAAAAAAGCACAACCACAGGTCACGTCCGGTTTAAGTTATTAGGTTAATTTATTAACATCATATAACCAGGGCGTCGCGATTTCGGTTTGTGGGTGTGGCAATTTTTTTTGCTTGAGCAACAATCTCAAGATGACTGTTCTTCTTTCTGCAAGCTTACAGATCCTAGTAGCCTTGGCTATACTCCATTATCCTACCCTCTCCGCCGCTAGACTAGAAACTATAGATGTATACAAACCAATAGCCAAGATATCTCCAGCTTTGAGCGGAGCAGAGAGCAGTCTAGCTTATCCCACAAATGACTCCTTCGGGTATTCTGTTACTGTACATCAGTTATTTGATGATCCTGCTGGCCTCTCTGCAAATGAGCTATTAGATCAAACGCTGTAAGTGTGTTTTTCATGCAGTCTGAGCATAGAATAATTTGTCTTTTTTGCAGTACACAGTTTACTCTTTCAGTTCCCCTTTCTGTCTTTGACTCGTAGCATGCATTAGAGAATAGGAAAGCCTATGCTTTTGTTTCTATTGAACTTCTGTCTGAATAATCAGTGGAAAAAGTGTTTTATAATTCATTAAAAAAAAACTAGTACTAATATACATGTAGGCTGTCATGTAGCTGTTGTTGTTGCATAGCAGCAAGAGTACCTAATGATAGCAGTATCCTATTCTGAGAAAGTAAATTGAATACACCTTATAATTCTCAAGAGGGTACATCTATTTACTAGCAGCTTGAGTAATAAGAGCTTTAATTTATTTTGAAGTTGGTATTATATTTTTAAAACATGCCTCCCTCTCTTTTATATGTGTACTTCCCCTCTTTCTCTCTACCTCTCTCTCCTACTCTCTCTCTCTCTCTCTCTCTCTCTCTCTCTCTTCCCCAGTATAATGGTTGGTGCTCCTACAGGTGCTTACCCAGGTGGTTTAAATGTATCTATAATGCAACCAGACAGAAGAGCATGTGAAAGAGTATATTCAGCAGGATCACTCAATTCTCTGACAAATGAGCAGATACTTGATTGTTTTCGTAACACTGCCACTGGAATGAACAATAATAGAACTGGTCTAGTCTACCAGTGTCCATTATCCTCACCATCGTGCTCCGCTGCACTTGGATCAGGCGAACCAGACACTCCTGATGGACTCCTCTTTGATAGAATTGGTATGATATTATTTATTTATTCATTATTAATTTACTTATTTATTTATTAGGTAACAATAGGATTTCTTTGCCAAGGGTTAGTGATGATCCTGATGATGAACTGTCTTTACAGAATAAGAATGGACAGCAAATGGGAGCTACAGTATACAGTGATAATGGATACTTTGTGGTAATTATACACTAAAAGTCTCATTATTAATTTCTCTAGCTCTCTCTTTCTCTTTATTTTATTTTTTGTAAATTAACTATTTTAATTTACAGGCATGTGCACCTCTGTGGGAATATGTTGATCTATCTAGTCGTAACTCTCAGCCAAGAGGTCATTGTGTATACTCAAATCGCTCTCTCTCTAATTTTCTCATACTTCAGCCGTGCGGTTAGCCACACCCATTATTAACCACACCCATTCACTTGTCCTTCATACATCAGATCACAGTGGTACAGGTACTAATCAAATTAACGAGGGCTACTGTGAGTCTGGATTTTCAGTAGGCGTGTCCGAAACATCCGCTTTACGACAAGATACTGTGAGTTTGTTGGTAATAAATTTTGTACTTTACTGTATCATTTTGATTATGATAGCCCTCTGCACCAGGCCCCTTCATGTTGACCGGAACTCCTGGACGGAGATATAGTAGTGGCGGTGTGTTTTTTTACAATCAGTTGAATCAAACTGGCAATAGACCACGTTATGGTGACATACAAACACCATTTATTAATGCTAGTATAGGCAGTGGAGATCAAGCAGACAGAAGTGCTTTTAATACTGTGTATGATGACCAGTTTAGTTATTATGGTAAGAAACTTGCATGTACATGTACACTGTACACACACGATGTTTAGCTTATGTAATAGTGTAGCCTCTTTATTAAGGACACCATTGGGCCTATATTACCTGCCCTTAATACAGAGGTGTCCTCATTTCAGAGATATACTTTTTGTATAGGCTTGTAAATTCTTCTTATCTCAAAGTGTCTCAAATTATATGTGATATATATTGTATAGTACATTTTCATTATTGTTCTTTTAAATCTCTTTCTCTATTTTTTCAGGGTTCTCCATTGCTTCAGGGTTCTTAACAAGCCAAGTCTCAAAAGGTACGTAGCATATATTATTGATATAAGCTTATATTTTCTTTATGGTCAGATTTTTTGGTCTCTTCACCTCGTTACACTCAATACACACAAATTGGACGAGTGAGTATATTGTTCACTTGTTTATTGTTTATCATTTTTTAACATTTTGCTATTGTTTGTTTATTTTCAATGTTTTTCATTATAGGTATACATTGTTAATAATATTGATGTTAAGCCTACCCTGCATATAGATGGAGAACAGGTTCATTAATACTCTCTTTTGCTATTTCTATTTTTTTTTAACTTTGTAGTTTGGAGAATATTTTGGATATTCAGTTGCAGCTGTCGATTTGAATGCAGATGGGTCAGTTCAATTAAGTGTGTGGGCGGTAATTAATAGTGTTGTTTTTGTGGCAGTAAATGTTTTTTTTGTTTACATGTGCATGTACATGCACATGGTGCATTATCGTTATAATAACTGGTTTACCCTGTTTTGTTTTTTCTTGAGTGCTTGCGCTGCATTGGTACAAGTTTCATTTTCATTCTTGTATGTTCTCATAGTTGGGATGACGTACTAGTTGGTTCTCCTATATACAGCGAACCATCTCATCATGAAGTGGGACGTGTCACTGCCTACGTTAATAATCAGGTGATTCCAATCAGTGATTTGATTTGATTTGATTTGAGTTCACATTAGAACTCTTCGTTCACAAAAGCTGGTGTCATAGTTGGTCAGGAAAGTTCGGGAAGATTTGGTATTTCAATAGCTTCACTTGGAGACTTAAATAATGATGGATACAATGGTAACTGATGCTTATTGTATTTATCTCCTATTTTATTTATGTCTTTTTATATAGATTTTGCAGTCTCAGCTCCATATGAAGGTAATGGGTTTGTGTATATTTATTATGGTCAAGAGATGGATGAATCTGGCTCTATTGTTAACACTACTTATCAACAAGTAAAAATAACATTAATTAATTAATTTATTTATTGATTGGTTTGTTAGCGTATTAATGGTTCAGCTGTTGCATCTCAAGTAACTGATATCCCATCAGTTAGTTCCTTTGGGTTCTCTCTCTCTGGTGGTACTGATGTTGATCAAAACGGGTACAGAGGTAAGACTTTGTTACTTTTCTGTGAATCCATCTCTCCTCCTTCCCTTCAGATCTTGTTATTGGAGCTTATGAGTCTCAGAGTGTATTTGTATTGCGTACTATACCAGTAGCTATCACTAATATCAGTATGACATTTAATACTGAACAAGTTATGCTACAAGATTATGATTGTGTATATCAAGGAAATCCAGTGGCATGGTATTACAGTATTTAGATGTTTATTAGTAAATTAATTCTGTGTATTTTTGTAGCTTTGATGTAGCAGTGTGTGCTATGTACAGAGGTAAAGGGCTATCAAATGGATTTAGTAAGAAATAAAATGGAGAGAGAGGAGAGAGAGAGAGAAAAAAAGAAAGAGAGAGGTGGAGGGAAAGAAGAGCAAAGAAAGAGGAGAAGGAAGAAGATGACTCTCTCAAGATGATGCTGTATTATGTAGTTTGTGTTTATATTTTTAGGAACTAATTTTGTGCTAAGAGAAGTTACAGAGTCCATTAGCAATAGGCTCTTTTTTGAAGATGGCTCAAGGATGTACACAGGAGAGCTCACTTTAACTGGAGAATACACTGAGACTTGTACTGATGTCACAGTTCTTATTGAGGTAAGTTGCTGTTTTTTTTTTTATTTTTTGATTCATTTTTTCAGAACACAACTACCTATTTGAATTTTAAAATTCGTGCTGATGCTCAAGAGATCCCTCGGGATAAGACGACCGTTAGTACTAACATTGATATCACTGATTTCTCACAATCTCCTGTTGTGGATGCACAAGGATACGAACTAGAGGTATGCATGTATATAGTATTTATCAAGAGTACATGCTTCTGTCCAAAAATTGGCTCTCAGGCTCTAGCATAATTTGCTTGAGCTTATTGCATTCAAAATTAGATTTTTTAAAGTTGCTTCAAATATTTTTATTACATTTTTTTTGATGCAAAAATTTTGCATTACATATAAGGTTTAAGCTGTTTTGATCAAAATTGGATTTTTAATAAGTTGCTCAAAAATTAGGCCAAAGTCCCTGTACCAAAGTCCCTGTACTATAGTTAAAGGACTTTGGTTGTACTTATGATGCATGGAATGTTTAAAAGTAGAGAATTATTTTGTCAAAATTATTGATATACCTTGATCACTAAATTTTATCAGCTTTACATGTATATATGCTTTACTTTATTCTATTACCAACAGATACCAGTAGTGCGAGAGTGTGGAGAAGATGATGTTTGTAATCCTGACCTCAAGCTTAATATTAAAAACATCACTTATCTGTAAGCCACCCATGCCTTCTTTTAACGACATCCACTGTTAATATTACACATCCATTAGGGCTCGAGATGGCAACACGTATCCTACACTAACTGTGGGACCGGTTGAGCGAGTTGTCATATCAGCAGAGTTCTCTAATGATGGGGAAAACTCTTTCTACCCTTATTTAACTTTCGAATTATCTAAGGAGTATTTTCAGCAACCAAGAATAACGCCATTATCTGTAAGAAAGACAGAGGAAAAGAGAGAGAGAGAGGGAGGAATAGAAACACGTTTTTATAGTAGCAAGCTAATATTATGTACTCTTGTAGTAGCTAATGATTTAATTCTCTTTCTTTCTAATTAGCTCTTCATTACGTGCAATGATACCACTTCAGATAATAGCTCTTACGGACACTACGAATGCCAGAATATAAAGACTCCACTCTCGTCCTCTGATGGAGTCACTGTTATCTCACTAGTGGTTCAAGTAATAGAGGGCAGTCTTTATGGTAATGAAGGAGTCCTTAGGATACCTATTGGTATCAGGAACCCAACCGACGTTGCATACAGTGTTGAGAGACCTGAAGATTTAGATAACAATGATGCAGTGGCAAACTTATCCATAGTAGCCTCATCAGAATATGCAGTGACTGTGTAAGTAATGTTACTAAAAATAGATGCACATTGTGTCACTAAAAATGAATATAAATATCAAGTTACTGAAATAGAAAGTAGGTTATTAATTTATTATGTCATTGTGTTGCCAAAAATAGATTATTCCTGTAATTATTGTTTTGCTAAAAATAGATAATACATCATCTAATACGTGATACATTGCAGGTTTTATTCAGGAGAAGAGATAGATTATAAAGGAAACGGGTCTAATTTTGACGGCAGAGATGCATCCACGCTCGGAGAGAGAGTCATGATTAATGTTAATTTCAAGAATGATGGACCATCCCAGATTATCAGTGGACAATTGAATATATACATACCATCACGTGGACCCGAGACTGGGAGCTATTATTATTACTATCCAGCAGCAGTGGTAATAAGGAGAGAGAGAGAGAGAATATTAATAGAGAGACAGAGAAAAAAATTTAGAGCTACCATGCACCTTTGTGAGCTTTTTAAGTTCCTTTTCTCTCCGGTAAAGCATCTTCAGTCAACTAAATGACATGCTTCACGAGTTGACAGGCACCACAATAGTACATGTACATATGACTTTTGAAACAAAAATCTAATTTTTTTGATTGAAATCAACTCAACACAGCATAAGGACTTGTATATGTATCAGAAAAAATTATTAAAATTAAAAAATTTTCCTAATCATTTTTGGCAAAAATTTGGCCCAAGTTTGTGTACTATATTATAGTATAGGGATTTTGGCCCAATTTTTGAATAACTTGACAATCTACTAGCTCCATGTATACTATTACAAAATCCTTTCCTTTTTCTGTTTTTCCCTACCTCTTTTCTCCAGAGCTCTTCTCACTTAGAGTGTGATAATTCTACACTCAATCCTGATGATCTTGATGTATCTGAAGCTGAAACCAATGCCCAGCAGCAGCAGTCACAGGAAGACTCAGGAAGGAGGAGAAGGAAAAGAAATGTCTCATTATTTTATCCATCATTTTCATCTTCATCATCTTCATCAAAAACGAATATTGTAAAAAGACAACAAACACAGGAGAAATTAGTAAGACAAAGAAAGAAAGAGAGAGAGAGAACTTTCTCAATTTTTTTTTATTATAGGATTGCTCTGGCCAATCCAAGACTGGCTGCATTTTACTTTCTTGCAGTATAACTTCATTCCTTACCAGAACTGACACTATAGTCATCACTGGGTACATTGATGAAAGGTTCTTTAATGTACGTAGCACTCAACATGCAGGCATATGCGTAGTATTAATTATACATGGATCAGTTGAGTCTAAAGATTACTTTTATATATTTATTTTAGGGTAAAACAGGTACATATAACCTAACCGCTTATGCTGTTGTTAACATCACTGATGGCATAACTAACTCAGTCAATGCTACTGAAGAAGGCTCTGTGAGAAAGAGAGGGAGAGAGAGAGGGGGGAAAGAAAAGAGAGAGAGAGGGGGGGGGAAGGAAGAAAAAGAAGGAGGGAAAGAGTGTGTGTATGTGTGAGAGATACTAACTACATGTATTTTTATTGCTAGGATACATTGACGTTATTAACTACAGGCACTAGCACAGAGTCTGGTGGCATTCCCTGGTATATATATGTGGCTCCAGCAGTTGCAGCTGTACTTTTTGTAATAATAATTGCAGTAATTCTATATTTTGTAAGTATCCACTATTATAATCTTATGCATGCACATACACTGTCCAATGTAACTCTGTGTGTAGTGGCGTGTTTTCAATGCAATAGTTATTCAGCTGTACAGTGAGTGTTAATGAGTGACAGTATCTATTTGCTAGTCATCTTTATGAGCTGTTGGATAAACTGTGAAATTTATGTCTTCCTTCCTTTCTCCTCCTCTTTCTCTTTAGTGTGGTTTCTTCCGTAGAAAGAAGAAGTCCATGAAAGCTGATGCTGTTGCTTCTGGTGAGGGAGATAACGTTGAACAATTTATACCAGATCCTTTTGGGGACTCTGCAAAAGCCAAAGAAGCAGCCAAAAATTAAAAAAAATTTTTTATAATTATGTGAAAATTAACAATACATGATATTATAATTTCAGCAAAATTATTACGTTTTATTATTATTGCAATGCACATTGCACAGCTGTTTATTTTTTACTTCCCTTTGTTCATTATGATAGCTAAAAAATAATTTATAATAAAAATAAATATTTTAAATAATATTCAGTTTGATGGGCGTGGTTAATAAATTTATTAATTAATATTAAAGTTAATTATTAATCATGCTTGCAGTGTAGATCTTTTAGTTGCTTTCGTTTTGTCATTCCAATTCTCTCTTTCTTTTCCCTAGAGAGAGACAGGAGAAAGAAGAAGCTAAGAGATACAATCCGACTTATAGAAGGATATATCCATTTACCTACACATTAAAGCAGAAGGTCACAGTGGCATTCCATCATGGGTAACAGTCATTCAAACGACTCGTCCCGCATGATGGTTGGAGATAGGATCAGCGACCATTTTACTACACAGGAAGAACTGGATTATACATTTGAACAGATTGTGGTAAGAGGGAGAGAGACAATATTAAATTATTGTAACATTATCCTTCTCTGCCTTATCAATATGTACAATGTGTATAGTTACACTTTTCCAACTATTTCATTATTCCCAAAACCTTTGAATTTACACACAGACTTGATAGAGAGCAAAGAGTGTTATAAATTTATTATCAGTGTTTTTAGTATACTAGCAGTGTATTATCAGGATACCATTAGTCTCAGTATATTTTGCTAGTATATTATATTCGTTTCATGCATGGGCTCTTCCATTTGTGCCTAGTCATTTGTGTACAAAGTCTGTTTGCAGCTGTTCTTTGGTTTTGTAATTGGACCCGTAAACATTTTTTATATTATAAATATAAATATTGATTGCATCCCTTTCACTTCGATAATCGATGCCCCCGTCCCCCATTATCCTTTTATGAAATCCCCCTCTCTTTTAATTTCCCTCCCTCTCTCTAAGGCATCATTGGATCTACCAGATGATAAGAAAAGTGTTGTATTAAACAGCTCAGAGGAGAAGAAAAAGTTAATGGTGAGGGATCACAACAGGAGACAGACCCACCATCAGTTCCCACCAAAATTCTACATATCAAAATTTGCTCATGTACTCGAAGCTGAAAACATCAAAGTAATTTATTAATATAAATTATCATTATAGTACATACAATCCAACCTCTTTGTGATAAGGAGTGAGATATGTATTTTTGTAATGGCCCAATTGCTACAAATTAAACAAGAGTGCCTCTGAAATGAGGACATCTATGTATCAAGGACAAGTGGTATTGTCCTAAGTAAAGAGAGGCTGCAATGCAGTATAGTAGTAAGAGAGGTTACACTGTAGTATATGGCACCATTATTACTATACTTGGGTTACTATTTATTTGTGTACACTATAGAAAGCAAGGAAGCGATCACAAGACACTGTGCAGTATTTAAGAGGCTTGGAAATATCTCTTAGGACCAATAAAATAAGGTGAGGGAGAGAGAGAGAGAAAGAGAGAGGTAGTACATCATCAGTTTTATTTATTTTTTATTATATTATTAGCTGGGTCCAGGATTTTTTAGCAGACAATAATGCCGGTTTACAAAAACTTGTACAATATATGAAGTTCCGTTATGACTTGGAAAAGAAAGGGTAAAGAAATAAAATAATTAATGAATATTCTTATTGTTATTGTGAAATGTAATCAAGTTACACATCAGCTATAGTGAAAACACTACTGTAGTCACAATTGACCAAATTTGGAGAATGATGAGAGAGAGAGAGAGAGACAGACAGACAGACAGAGGAAAAAGAAGAGAAAATATTGAGAGACAGAGAGAAAGCTTTAAGGTAGCATATTTTGAGCCCTAAGCCAAATCTTTCTCTATATATATTTTGACCACTCCCTGCATTCTTTAAAATGACATAATATTTTCTGGCATACACTAGAGTTACGCTTGGCAACATTGACCACACCCATTGACACACCCTCAAACTGCCTTTGCTCATGCTATTATTAATTTGCTTTTAGTAAACTCAAGGCACTCACCAGAAGAGGATCGTCCACTTTAGGACGGGCTCACAGTCTTGACAGCGGCATCAATGCATCATCTTCACTATCACTTCCTCCCCCTAATCAAATTAATCCGCTATATAGTTTATTAAATGGAGGGGGCCCCCCGGGTCCAGGGAGAGGTGGAGGGAAAGACGTAGTTGTAGCTGAGACTTCTGATGTTCACGTTTGTGTCCTTTGTATGAAGGCTCTGATGAATAATGCTGTGAGTTATTAATACTCTGTATCCTCTATAGTAAGGACACCTCTATAATAAGGACACTTTTATAAAGGATATTAGTGTAATGTCCCAATTGGTACCTATACAAAAGTACCTCTGAGATGAGGACACCTCTGTATCAAGGGCAGGTAGTGGGGGCCCAATGGTGTCCTTAATAAAGAGGCTACAGTCACTACTGTTACTATGTTGGTATTTAGTGTATCTGTGAAGCATGGGAAGTATCAGCAGTTAGTATCACTATTAATAAAAACTGTAACATTCTTTCATTATTCTAATTGTGGCACAATATTTGAAATTCAAACTTTAATGTGTTTCTTACTCTATCAATGGATGTGTTTACCTTATGTGAATAGCGATCCAGTCAATTTCAATAGTAATAATGTAACCTGATAGTCTTAAATGGACCTTTGTTTACTAATTGATGTTTGAAAAACACAACTAGATCCATGATATAATTTAATGACAGTATTCCATACATTGAATATTACATGTACATGTACATGTACATGTATGTATCTATTGTGCACGCATGACGTGTAAATTTTTAAATTAATTAACAAAAGCAGATTAACTATTTATGGGCAATTGGACATACATGTACATGGTTCGATTATTTCATGAGTCATTAAAATTCTTTCTTTCTCCATCTCTTCCCTCCCCCTCTCTCTCTCTCTCTCCCTATAGCATGGTTTTTCAGCCATCATGAAAGACAAAGAGGCTGTCTCGGTCATGGTCCTCTCCATGTTTTTTGGAACACAAAAGTAAACAGACGGGCTAGTGTGGCTTGTTTGTGTACACATATTGTGTGTGTACATGTAAATATGTGGCATGTCCATGTGTGTACGTATGCCCTTGTGTAGGCATCTCTGTGTGTGTGTATATGCACACGTATGGTAGCGTGTGTGTGTTACTATAATAACAATTATGCTGTCTCTTCCTTCACTTTTCCTTCTCCCCCTCTCTCTCAGGACTATAGTCACTGTGGTAGAGCTTTTAGCTGCCGTGTGTCTAGTCCGCGGCGGCCATCTTAAAGTGCTAGAAGCAGTCGACACGTTCAAGAGAGAGTTCAACGAGCAGAGACGGTTTGAGTCTCTTCTGAAATACTTTATGGATTTCAAGTCAGTCTCGACCGAGTTCCAGCTCGCCTGCATGAACTTCATCAACGTTGTTGTACACTCGGCAGAAGATGTCAACTTTCGGGTACACCTCCAATACGAGTTCACTGAATTGGGACTGGATGAGTATTTACAGGTAGAGGGAGAGGGGAGGGAGAGAAAGAGCTAAGAAATAAGAAATTATACTTATTATTATTATTATTTGTCTACTAGTTTTTAAAGGTCTCTCGTGACTCTGCTCCTCATTTACTTGACCAGATACAGGCCTACGAGGAGAACTATTTCAACGTTGAGCAGCTGGTGGAGGAATCACAGTCTAAACATGAGGCACTGGCATTGGTGGAAGCAATGAAGAAAGAAATGATCGAAGTAATTAATTAATTATATACAAGTACAAGTACAGTAGCAAATTTTTATTGAGGGTTCCTTTAAGATGATGCATGAAGTTTGTCATTGTTGAATATAGCAAATCAGTAAAGTTAGCAAAGCCATGCAAGTGTCACAAAAATGATATAATTGAATTAAAATTAAGTACACACGTTTAAAAGTGGATCGGGAAGAATGCGAAAGTGAAAAAGGAAGCAATTACACTAAGCACGTCCTTATTGTCCTGTTTTGTAACCAGGTCGAGGAAAGACATTCCGAAATTGAATTCCAGTCATTGAAAAAGATAGGTAAGGAATGGGTCTGTGGTGGATGGGTTTAATTATGAGTCCTGCTTTTGTTTTTTAGCTGATCTAGAGAAGCAAGTGGCAGAGTTAAAGAGAAGTTTAGAGGATGTTAAGAGACAAAGTGTACTAATAGCTGAACAAGCAGCTGCATCTCCTGTTGGCCTCCCTCCCCCACCTCCCCCTCCTCCTCCTCCTCCCCCAGGGGGAGTACCCCCTCCTCCCCCTTTACCGGGCGGAGCTCCTCCTCCTCCCCCACCTCCTCTACCAGGCGGAGCCCCTCCTCCTCCCCCTCCTCCTCTACCCGGAGGGGGACCTCCTCCTCCTCCCCCTCCCCCTGGTGGAGGGGGCGTGCCACCACCGCCACCTTTTGGGTTCGGAAAGAAAGGAATAAGTAAGAACAAAATAAAATTATCATCAAATTAATTTTTGCTCTCTCCAGATGTTCAAGGGAAGCGTAAGATACAAACCACTCACAAGCTACCTGTTCTCAATTGGGTCTCTCTCCCAGCCACTCAAGTCTCTGGGACTATCTTCAACTCCATTGATGATGAGAAGATACTCAATTCCCTTGACTTTTCTTCCTTTGAAGAGAAGTTCAAACTCGTGTCCGGGGGGTTGTCTGGGACTACCGTGAGAACTAAAGGCTCTCCTTCTTCACAGGCTAAGGGTGCAGTGACGTCTAGTCTGGGCGGGGCAGCTGGGAGGAGCCTGGAGGCTAGTTTATTGGAGCCAAAGAGACTACAGAATGTTGCTATCGCTAGAAGGAAAGTATCTGCACCTACTGATACAATAAAACAGCAGATATATGGGTGAGTGAGCCCCTTAATTATTAATTAAAAGTCCTTGCACTTGATAATTTAGCAAATTGCTATTTGAAAACGACGCATAAGTTAATATAGAGTTACAAAATGTAACGAAAATGTTTTGATTATAGAGATGCATCAAAAGCACTAGAATTTGTTTTTTAGTACTTCCAATAAAAAATTTTTTATTGTTAGGATGGATCTTGAGTTGTTTAGTGTAGAAATGGCAGAGATTTTAATTAAAGTTTTACCAAACGACGATGAAGTGAAGAAGTTTCAGGAATATCTCAAGGATAAGAAAGACCCAAAGCTCCTCCCACCTGACGATAAATTCCTATTTGACGTAAGGGAGCTAGAGCTAGGTGATAAGGAATTAATTTATTATTATTATCATTATTAGTTGTATAATATTGAGAGACTGAAGCCACGCCTACAAGTTATTATATTCATGGGTAACCTTGACGACGATTTACAGCTTGCAGCACCGGTTAGTGAGATATTATTAAATATTATTATTATTTATTTATTATTATTTTTTAGCAAATAGATGCTGTCATTGCTGCTTCTAAGTCGGTTCTTAATAGTGAAAACTTCAAAAAGATTGTGGAGGTCAGTATATATCACATTGCTGTCAACTGACTAAAATGTGTTTAGGTTATTCTGGCATTTGGAAATTATATTAACAGCAGTAAAAGGGGTGGAGTTTACGGGTTTAAATTCCAGTCTTTTGATATTGTAAGTTACTTAATTATTTTGTAACTTAATTGAAAATTTTTTTGTGCTTGAAAAACCAGCTTAAACTTTGTTACATAGTCTATATCCAGTCTTGCTGTATGTATCAGAAAAATTATATTAAAAATTGATGATTTTAGCATGATCCATTTTAAAATGGCCATAACTCGAAAAATTTAAGTCGGAATTAGCTCAAACTTTCTACACAGCATAAGGACATCAATATGTATCAGAAAATGTAATAAAAATGGGGGGTGATTTTGGAGCCATTTTTTGGAAAAAAACCATGGGCTATAGTACAGGGAAATTTTTGAAAATCGGCCCATTTTTAAAAATGGTCATAATTCAAAAATTTGAGCTCGGAGTCAGCTCAAACTTTCTACACAGCATAATGGCATTGATATGTATCAAAAAATGTAATAAAAATTGGGGGTGATTTTGGAGCCATTTTTCGGAAAAAACCATGGGCTATAGTACAGGGAAATTTTCGAAAATTGGCCCATTTTTTAAAATGGTCATAACTCAGAAATTTGAGTTCGGAATCAACTCAAACTTTCTACACAGCATAATGGCATTGATATGTATCAAAAAATGTAATAAAAATTCGGGGTGATTTTGGAGCCATTTTTCGGAAAAAACCATGGGCTATAGTACAGGGAAATTTTCGAAAATTGGCCCATTTTTTAAAATGGTCATAACTCAGAAATTTGAGTTCGGAATCAACTCAAACTTTCTACACAGCATAAGGGCATCAATATGTATCAGAAAATGTAATAAAAATTCGGGGTGATTTTGGAGCCATTTTTTGACTGTATATGCATGTGTCAAGATTAATATTTTTTTCTTCCTATCATAGTTAACAGAATTCAGATCTCCAGCTGACAAGAAGTTCACACTGTTACATTTCGTTGCTGACGTATTGCGCAGTCAATATCCTCATTCACTTGATGCCATTAACGAGTTAGCATATTTAGAAAAGGCAGGGTCAGGTTAGTTCTGGATGCTGTTTTGAAAAAATGTACAATTAATTATATTTTACCTCCTCCTCTCTCTCTCTCTCTCCAGTTAATCTTGATTTATTGGGTGCTGATGTAAGGGAATTTATTAAAGGAATGAAATTGGCTACTGGTGAACTCGTAAACAATAAACAAAACAAAAAATTAAAAGTAAACAAACACTTATACACATACACACACACTGGGCAATTCTCTCTATTAAACTAATGATTGATGTTTGTGACATTCGTGTGTCTTCTATTGTAGAATTTTTGTTTGGACTATGAGCCAAAAATAACAAAAGTTGAGGCAGACTATCAAACAGCTAAAGTAAGTGCAGCTGCCAAATAATTTATCGTATGTACATGTACATGTACATGTTCTTGGTTTATACATGTGTAATATTTTACTATAGGATGTTTTTACTGAGTTGGTACAATATTTTGGCGAGAATCCTAAATTAGCTCAACCAAACACGATCTTTCCCGTATTGCAAAGATTCATAGCATCACTTAAGGTTTGAGAATTATTAATGACATGTATATCCATTTATTTATTTATTTATTTATTTATTTATTTATAATAGAAAGCTGATTCTGAAAACATTGAGAGAGCTAGAAGAGAAGAAATGGTAAAAACTAATGTATATAATATATAATTTAATGTTTCCTTCTCTCTCTCTTCCTTCCCCCCCCCCTCTCTCTCTCCTCAGGCTAGACGGGCAGAAGAAGCTCAAAGGAGACAACAGGTAAGTACATTATTTAATGTCTGTCCCTCCTCCTTGTAACAGAAGGCAACTAATTGACACCTATGTTTAGTTGTTGACACTATCATTGCACTACAGTAATTTACATATTTTATCCTTTTTCTCTCTCCTGTCAGCTGTTGCAGGAACAGCAGGCCGAAGATGAAGGAGGCTTAGAAGTATTACAGCAGGTTTATGATGGAGCCATTGATATGTTGATCACTGAACTTAAATCAAATGCTTTCAAGCCTAAGGAGTACAGAAAGAGTCGTTTGATTTTGCCTGCAACATCACAGTCAAGCCTTGGCCCTGAAGTACATGTCAACACAAGGAGATAACATCTATAATGGTGTAATAACCACATGTATATTAACAACAAATGGGTGTGTAATTTTTTGATTGATTTATTTTGTGTCTTTGTTTTTTAATTGGATAATTCTCTCACATTTTAGACTGGTCACTATTAAATTTTTAAAATTGCTGTATATGTTATTATTTCCTAATGACGTGTATAAATGCTGTATTAATTAATTAATAATTAAGTATTTGTAAGAAAATTTTGACAGAATCAGCTAAAACATGTACATGTATGCACATCACAGCTAGCAGTTCTAATGTTATTTCTTTTACTAATTCCTCTTCTAGTTAGTTTTCTTTTCTCCTCCTCCTCCATTTGCTTGGTGCAACTTTTTCCATTTTGATCTCAGTCGTTGTAAATCTCCCATCAGGTTCTTCTTGAGTACGGCCGAAGCAGTAATGAGCCCAGCAAACATGGCTCCGGAGAAACCATCAGAGAACACGTCCTGTCCAGTCAGATACAGACCATCGACTGGTAGCTGTGGACGCAGATCGGTCTGGATTGATGGATCAAATCGATTGATATCATGATCCAAGCCGTAGACCTCTCCTTTGTAAGACTCCAGGTAGAACTGGTTGCTTAATGGAGTCCCAACTTCAATGTATTCCAGCTTATCTTCGAGGTGAGGGTAGAGCTTACAGACCTGTTCCCAGAGCCGCCTCCCGAGTCTAGTCTTGAACGAAACATAATCCTCTCCTCTTTTCTGAACCTGCTCTCCCTTCCACTCCTCGAACCATTCAAATGGGGTCACGGTCACAATTGCGCATGTAGATTTCCCCGGATATCGGTCGTTGAATGTCGGGTCCTTGGACGATGGAAACGAAACAAACATGAGAGGTACGCTTGAGTCCCGTGCCTCCTCCGCAGAGAGGGCAAAGTATTTCTCAACGACCTTTATGACATCAGGGTCGGTGAATGCCCATGTGTTTTGAGCCGCTAGTCCAAGCTCCTCCTTAGTCCCGCCCAGCCCTATGAATATCATTAAGAACCCGGGACCAGGTCTCACTTTCTTTACTAGCTTGCTCAAACCGGTTTGACTAGCTATCTCTGCTGGCAACAGTTTGGTGACGGTATTGGTTAGTCCGGCGTCAGAAATAACTATAGGAGCATATAGTTCATATTCTTGTTTCCCACGGGAGACTTTCACGCCTACAGCTGCTCCACCCTTTACCAATATCTCCTTGACCCTCACTCTTACTAGCACACGCCCACCGGAAGCTTCAATGGTTGGTATGATGTTGTATGCTATTTCACTGGATCCGCCTTTTGGGTAGTATGACCCATCCAGGAAGTGAAGGAGGAGTAGTGAGTGCATGTAGAATGGAGCTTTTCCTGGAGGAGTACCTGAAGAGAAAGACAGTGATAATATTAAGAATCATAGAGTCCAGGGACTTTGGTCCTATTTTTGAGTAACTTTAAAAATTCGTAAAAAATCCAATTTTAATCAAAATCAGCTCAAACTTTCTACACAAAATAAGAACATGTATATGTATCAGGAAAAATATAAAAATGGAAAAATCTCACCTAGCCATTTTTGGCAAAATTTCGCCAAAGTCACTGTACTATAGTACAGGGACTTTGGCCCGATTTTTGAGTAGCTTTAAAAATTCATTAAAAATCCAATTTTGATCAAAATCAGCTCAAACTTTTTACACAAAATAAAAACATGTATATGCATCAGAAAAAAATATAAAAATGGAAAAATCTCTCCTAGCCACTTTTGACAAAATACCCTGTTGCAGACTAATCTTACATACATTACAACAGATGTCTTTGTTTATTGTTACCATTACATGTTACATGCAAATAGTGTGACTCCACAAAACATGGTCTGAAGCCAAGTGGCTACCCCTCCTCTCTCTCTCTCTTACCATAATTCCCAAAGCAGTAAGTAAGTACAGCTCGTAGATCTTTATTGTCAGTGACTTCATTGAGGACTTCTTCTACTGTCATTTTGAGGTACTTTAGATTCGGTACCAGCCACATCAAAATCCCAGACGATAAGAGAAACCTTGCCAAAAACTTTGGAATGAATTTAAGTAATCCTACGATCGACGAAATTTTTGCAGCATCTTCCATTTTTTTATAAAAGGAACGTATCGCTTTCTCTTCCTTTGGAAACTGCTCAATGAAGTACTCAACTTGTTTCTTCCGACCAGATTTTACATAGTATTTCTTGGAGTATTCTTCTCCTAATGCAATCATGTCGTAGGTCTCGTCCAGTGACAGCCATTGTAGTTTACCGTTGGTCAACTGGTCACTAAGGATACGATTAGTATTACCGGGGTTCATCTTCCCAACGTAGTGTATCCCTATGTCAAACTCAAATCCTTTGTCAATGAAAACGTGACAGCAGCCCCCGGCCTGGTCATGCTGCTCAAGGACTAGGACCTTCTTTCCTGCTCTAGAGAGAAGTGAAGCAACACTCAGGCCTCCTAACCCGCTCCCTATAACAATGGCGTCGAGACTATCGGGGACTTTGTCAGGGGAGAAGCTGTTCTTGAGTACAGCATCACGTTTAGACTGGTCTATCTCGATGTCTGTCTCTCCCGGCGGGTTGATGATTAGTTTCTCGTCGAATATAGACTGGCCTTTGGGAGAGGAAGAGAATAGCCAAAGGCTATCCTTAATATAGTAATAAGCTAAGGCTAGGGGCAGAAGCAGAACGAATCCCCAAAGAACAAGGGCCAAAACCATCTTCCAGCTAATCCTATACAGTCAGCAAAGCAAGACATTCACACGTGCGCATATGTGATAACGAGCCACTCCCAATCTGAGCTGAGCAATCTCCGGCTCCCATTGCATCATTAACATTAATTTTTCCAAAATGGTTGCATCAAAGGTGATGTTTGTGCTAACACTAGCTCTTGTAGCTCTAGCTGCTGCCAAGTTTGAATATACACAAGAGTTCCAGGACTGGAAAGTCAAGTACAACAAGGTCTATGAGACAAAGGAGACTGAGCTTGAGCGTCAAATCATCTGGGAATCAAACAAGAAGTTTGTAGAGAACCACAATGCTAACTCTGACAAATTTGGATTCACTGTTGCCATGAATGAGTTTGCTGATCTTGTAAGTGAATATCAAAACATGTGTACCTAAGCTAGATTATACTTCCCTACTATAAAATTTTTTAAATAATTTTCTCCACAACAACTGAATTTTAAATGTGAAATAGGTCAACTTCCAAAATAAGATATTCTTTTCAAAACAATAAAGATAAAACAACGTTAAATTTTGTCCCACAAACTATTTTTGCATGAATTTTTTTAAATCTATGGTTTTGTTTTTTTAAGGATGCTGACGCATTCTCTAAACTTAAAAAAATCCCATCTCATCCAGCACAAGCTAATAACAACAAAGTTTTGCTTACTGGAGGTAATGTTCCAAACTCAATTGATTGGAGAAAGAAAGGAGCTGTAACTCCTGTATCAAGTCAAGTACGTCAGTGCAATACATTAATGATTTATTTATTTATTTATTTATTTTTTGTAAAGGGCCAGTGTGGAGTATGGCCATGGCCTATCGTTGGTTCAGTTGAAAGTCAGTATTTCATTAAGACTGGTACCCTCGTTCCACTCTCAGTTCAACAGATACTAGACTGTGCCAGTTAGTTTGACTTTAATATCTCATTTACATTTTAACCTGCATATACATCTACGCTGTATAGATATTACTAATTTGGACGAAGCAGGTGCAATATATAAGTAT